TGCCGGCTGGGTTTGAACCACGACAACAGGATACATGAGAAGTTGCAGAGGGAAGTAGGAGAGGTACATGGCAGGCATCAGTTAGAAAGAGCAGGTACAGGTACATCCTCACTTCATTTCTGCAGCTGATAGATTAATTTATACCATGTGTTACTGGTGTACACCAGGAGAGACTTTACTGGGACAAGCCAACGACAAAATAGCGTAGAAAACTATTGCTGAGTACAGCTTAGCAGTTGATGATCACCCAAAAGTAACTTCAGCCATTTCTTCTCTCATCTTTAAGGACCCTTTTCTTTGAACACTGTGCCGGAAAAGGGAGAAACCAGCATCATTAAACAGCACCCACCTCGAAGACCTCAGGTAAGGCGAGTTTGAAAGGCTCTCTATGAGTTTCTCTGACCCATTGATGTGGGCTTTCTTGGCGACTTGGGCACATGTCACACCACCATGGTGAGGGAAACAAATATCCTACAGAAATGCAAGTAGAAGGTCCTACTGTTAGATGACCATCCTTGGATGAGCTTTATCACCAGCTGAGGTTTGATACCTGGGGCAGAGCAGGTACACCAGAGGAGATAACCCCGAGAGGTTATCTGTGTTTCATTAGCACAAGGTGAAGACTCCACCTTCTAAGAATAGCCAAAGAGGGACCAATGCAGCAAGGCTGTGCCTTTACTCTCCTGCCTGACTCCATGAGTCTTGCCTCTCTGGAGCAACCCAACAAAGACACATGCCCCAGCAACAGCCATGAGGTCACCTCTCCTGTAATGACCCATTTCCCTTTGTGGTGTCTGTGTACCTGCAGCCCAATCTTTGTGTTCTCATGGGGCTAACGTGGCCAAGACAGAACCCTTTGCAAAAGGGATCCAGCTTACATCAGTAGGGCTGGTTTTGGCTCTTCAGGCCAAACATCCCATCAAGGTCTGACATCAGCTTAGAGGCAGAGAGGCAGGTAAAGCAGACAGATGTGGTTTGCAATAGGGGCCCGTGAAAGCACAGAGCAATTATTTTAGGTTTTGAGAATTGCTATGCATGTTGTGTTCCTACACATACCTTCACCTTCTCCCCTCAAGAGCATGGTGTATAAGTGGCACACCACCACCCCCTGCATATCTAGATATTAAAAAAACTTCCCCCCCAAAACTAACATAAAACACTCTTGTTCACTCCTCGTTGACCACCTTCCTTTCCTCTTCCTGCACTTCTCAGATTCCTTAGCCTCCAAGCCCTGAAACCCATGACTACCTGACCTGGAATTTGGATTTTTCACACGCACACGAGTTACTACAACATAAGTAAAACTCCAGAAATATCTTTATATTTATGTAATTTACTGCAGAGGAGGTAAAGGAGTGCAGCTTATGTACCATGCTGTGCAAGGGTTAGAGATGCTACTTCATTAAAAAAAAAATAGAAGTGATGAGTCCTCTACATGCATTTTCTGTGCTGATATTTTCCTGCATTGATGCTTTTATTCAATATAAAACCTGGGTGAGGCTCAGGCCTTGAAGAATCTCCATCATGTGCCCACAGTGCTAAGCTGGAGCTGCGTTATCAGGACTGCACAACTCCAGCCATAAATCAGGTTGTTTAAAACCCAGACCTAGAGAAACACACTGCTTTCTCTGCTTCACCTGAACTCTCATCGCTTCTCCACAACCACCCAAACCAGACAGCAATACCTTCCAATTTCTGATTTCTTACCTGCTCACCACTGAGGATGCAAAGCTGCCGGTGTTTGACTGAGATGGAGCTCTTTCTTATGTGCCCACAGAGAGTTAGGGAGAGGACAAGAGCGACACAGACTAAGCCCCACTCCAGATGCCCCAGAGCTGCAGTTCCTCCACTTTACTCCTGAGATCTTTCTCTTTTAGACCCCCTGCTTGACGCTTTTGGCTGTACTTCTCTGCTATTTGGCATAGGTCTGTGAGCTCCAAAATGGAGAGCAAGGACCCAGAGGAACAAAATCAGGTAGAGAAAGGGAACAACTTGAACAGACCTCTCCAAATGCAGGTGTTCTACTTGGGGAAGCACTCAGCTACTGGAAATAACCCACCCCCCATGCTGTCATTTAGGCATGACTTTCAATTAGCAATTAAGGGCCAATATTGTACCTGCTGCTGAGACCCCTCTAAGAGAGCTCAGCTGCACAGGCACACCAGCAGCCTAATTAGGCAGCTGGAGGGAGTCTTCAGTGATGGGCAGGTGGGGACAAACACACTTCTTGGCTGTTTAACCCATGAAACAGATGTATTTGCCCAGCTGGCCATGTGCTTCTCTGTAGTGCTCCTTTAGGAGCTGGGTCATCCCAACTTAGAGCAGCCCTGGGTTACATCAGCACTGAGCTACCCCTATGGGGCAGTGGTGCCTCGCTCAAGCCTTCCTTGCTGTGATAGAACTTTTTAAACTGTAATAAAGAACACAAGAGTCACCAGTTGGGATCAGTTAAACCCCCTCCACTCAGGGCTGCGGATCTGGCCAAGACAGGTGGCTTCAGAGAACATAGGTGGCCACCAACTATTGAATAATGTGTCTGTAGATTTGGTGGGAGGATGAGCCAGCAGCACCTGGAATGAGCCCAGCTACACCCTGTGAGCTGGCATGTGGAATCACAGCCTCCTTCAGAAATCTCCTACTAGCATGTAATTTTTAGACATTGATCTTATTTCTATTACGGCTGTATTTATGTATTATTAAAACACTGATAATGATCACCGCAGGACAGACACTGTTAATCCTACCCCATGCTTCTGCCATCACTGTTGGGGAGTGTAAACACCATTGGAAAAGCCTTTTTCCCTGTGGGAATATTTTAAAGAACAGCGGAGCAGGATGACGTGGCCTTCTCAAGGACTTTTAGAGGATTTCAGTAAGAGAGTATTTCCAGAGAAAAATCCCGTGAGGTTCACAAAGATGAAAGAAAAGAGTCGATTTTCAGCCTGGGACAGAACTTCAGCCAAAAGCCTGAAACTTGGCTTCCCTACCAGGCACAGCAAAATGAGCCGGTAGATGCAGGAATTTATCTTCATCAACTTTTGGTGCTGGTGGCCTTGGTGGCATCTAGGAGTGATGAACAGCCCGGACCACAGTTTGTGGTGTCACATGCTGCCATCTAGTGCCATTCTTTAAGTTTCATATTCAGTTTTGCGAGACTTTTTGATGCTGAGACGTGAACTTGGTGTGCAGGGGTGACAGGGATTTCTCCCTTTACATGATGCTGCTTACTTTTTTTCTCCTACATTTTTGCACTGATCTACAGGAAGCTTCAAAATTATATCCCAGGCTTTAGCAGCAGTTCAGTGCAGATAGTCAGGGATATGTCACCATTTATTGGACACTAGTTCATATTTGAGTTAATGGTGTCCCACATAAAGTGTAAGTCAGGTCTTACTGATGCAGTAAGTCCTTGATGATGCTCCCCTTAATTTTTATGGAAGTTCTATTGAGCTCCCATCCTACAAGGGGACACTAGCAATACTGAGCCATGAAATGACCCAGTATCGTCTAGTGGTTTGGCATGCTTTAAGGAGGCAACGTAGCTCCTTAAGATAAAAATCCATGCTCAGAGCAACTGTAAAGCAAGTCTCTGCCTGCTTCCATTAGCCACCAGGAAAGGCACTTTGTGCGATGCACCGTTCTGCATAGAATGTCTTAGGCCAACATAAAAGAGACTAGTTCAGCAGAAGGAACAGTGCTCTGCACCTTGGGTAACTAGGATTTGCCCTTGGATGACTTGTTAGAAGGCTTCATATTAAATTATGATACCTCTCCGTGCTTCAGCTTTGACATACAGCTGTCTGAGCTGGAGTGTGTCTTCACTCTGGTCTTGGCTGGAGCCTTGGGGTCCTATACCTAATATAGGTATAGAAATACCTACAGGGATGAGACTAATGTCAAACTGGGTATTTGCTGTTTTTACTGTAATGCCAGAGATGCCCTCAGTTTTGCCCATTCCTGAAGGACCAAAGGAGATGTTCATCTCACTGAGCATCTGCTAGAAATGCCAATCTCCTTCCTGTCTTCCTGTATCCCAAGCAGCTGGGCCAGAATTGGATCTGGAAAAATATCAAGGTAGTTTCACATCAGGTTTTATGATTGCATGGAACAAGCAATGCTGAGTATTATAAATATTGGACTTGCAGAGGCTTGAACCCGCCTGCCCTCTGCAAGCAAACTCTCCTGCAAAGCCCTGGAGTCAGCAAGAAGTGGCCGCAAGCCCAAAACCAAAGGTAAGTACATAAGTTGAGCCCTGTGCAAGGGGCTGCTGCTGACTGGAGGCTCCTTTCCCTTGGAATTCAGGCACTCCGAAGAGCAGAAGCTGGTGTTTCACACCTGCTGCACTCCTGTCCCTGGCTGAGCCTGGGAACTGGCTGAAACACCGGTGTATGGGTGAAAGGATGCAAAATAAGGGAAAAGTTTCTCCAGCATGACAGCTCCCAGATGAGGCTGACCTGCTGAGCCAGGACCTTAAATATTTTTGAGGATAAAGGTTTGAGGACCAGTCCTTTAAATGGCTGAGCAACTGGAACACCCATCGCTTGCGGTCATTAGGGCTGCGAGGGTGGTGTGCCATAAACAACCCCTGCAACCTTAAACATGCAAGAGAGTTTACTTCTTTTGGATCATGAGATTATCTTGGGCAGCTGACTCCAAGTGGTAACACCTCAGGAGCAGAAGCGTGTATACATTGTTTTAATGAAGATTTTTCATCATGCCCCAGAGCTGTGAGATAAACTGTGAAGTGCAGTGGAAATCTGTGATGAATTTCTGCAACTTGGCTATGCAGGGAGACGCTCGCTGCCTTTATCTGGGGAGCGCCTCAGGGACCGGCTGTGGGTTTGGGAGCTGGGAGCTGTTCCTTTCCTTCTCAGAAAATGCAGGTGTATTTATTTACATTTTTAAATACCGCGTAGGCTCTGGAAAAGAAGGAGCAAAGCCTGAGACACCTCCCTGGCAGGCGGCAGCACTTGCACAAGCTGCAGATGCTGGACTTGACCCGCAAGCGCCAAGAGGTAATGCTGAGATGGATTTGGGGAGAGGCTGGGGCTTCCTCTCTCAAACAGGGGCTGCCCATCCCAAGTGTCTCTCCTATGGACCAAGGAGGCTTTAAGCTTCATGTTGGGAAGGTTGTTCATTTGACGCTTGACATGTTGAGCTTCTGCTGCTTTCCCAGTGCTTGGTCAGAGGAGAGGTGGGGAGCATCACAGCGGGTCCCTGTGATCAGTAGTTACTTCTGATTTTTCCAACACTTTGCCCTCATTTGGCTGTGGCTCATGAAGAGACAGAAATCTCTGTGCGGCTCATGTTCTGTCATGTACCCAGTTTGGCAAACACCATTTTCTTGGGTTAAACTACTTGACTGTGTAATTATTTTCAGTGCCAACCCCCTAATGATATGCCATGTTGAGATGTTAAAACGTGTTCACTCCTCTGCTGCTTGTGTTCACGACCCATTTGCAAACCCAGGCAGAGCTGAAGCGAAATCTCCACAGGGAGGCAAACATCAACAAACAAAAAATCAAGGAATTCAGCCCGAAGAAAGTCCTTGACAGTCTCCAGAGAGGCAACAGCACTGAAAGCCGGGACCTAGCCCCTGCTGAGCACAATCAGCGTTTTCATGGAGATGACCGTGGTAAGTAGAGTAATTTTCCAAGGAGATTTAAAAATCATCAGACTTTTAAATGTCAACAGAGAAGTTTCCCTGTGGAAGCTGCTTCCGCTGCTCCATCTCCTGCAGTGACACAATGTGGGTTGAAAAGACTTGGGAGGAGAATATTGGGCAATGTGTTTACAAGGCAAAGCATTGGGATGCCTCAGAACAGGACACAGGTCTCTGGGCTGCTTCCCTGATAGCATCCAAACAGACCTGAGTAGATTTGAATCAACAGCTATGGACTAGACATAGGGGCATAAAGTCAAATCCCTCAGGAGCAGGTTCTCAAATCCCACTGGCAGGAGAGTCTGAGCCTGTCCTCTAAAGCTCCACCAACACGATGGCCAAAGGGGCGAAGGAGAAAAAAAAAAGGGAAATGACTTCCTGAAGATCAATGTTTACAACAGGTTTTGCCTCCTGCCCTCTGCCCCAGCATGAGAAACCTCCTGCACAAGCCTGAGGTGTGCCCTGGGGAGGGCTTCAGAGTTGCTCTTCTATTGCACCAGATTGATTGCATCCCAATTTTCTCTGCTCTGGAGAAATCAAGTGTGATGTTGCCTTGCAGCAAAAGGGAAACCTGGATGATTTGGGATCACTGGTTATTTTCAGGGACCTTGTGGGACTGTTTTTTGAGAGAAGAATCAGCCTCGTCTCTCCCCCGCAAAATGCAGGAAGGACTGAAGGAGGATACTCACATACATTTTGGGGTGTTGACCCTTGCAGTCAATCTTCTCTGGCAGAGCAATCTTGAGCACATTGGGAAGCTGGAACTGGGCTCACCAGGAGAAAGAAATGGAGATTGAACTGTTTGAGGAACAGCTGCCAGAAATTTGCTCCTGGTTTCATCATGGCATGGTCCACCAACATGCATACAATGACCATAGGGCAAATGTTACAGCCACTGAGGTTACTCACTTTTTCGGTTTAGTTTCATATGGAAACTGCTTCCCACTGCTCAGAGCCAGGCAATTTCCATTGCAGATTTGCATGCCTCTGGGTGATGTGTAATGGAGGTGAGATGTTTCTGGTTAGATGATTTCCAGCCATGGCTCCATGTGACTTTTCATCAACATCTGATGTGAAAATGCATCAGGTGAAATTCATTTAACGACAACAGATCTTGGTCTCTCTTGGGCATGTTGTCCTGCTGCATCCCACGCTGTGGCACAAGAGGAAGCATGGCATGGTCTGTGTGACAGTGATGCCAGCAAATGCTGAGCTGGGACTTCTCACTCCCCTATATGCCTCAAGGAG